GTTTTTTTATTTATTTTTGGGACAGAGAGAGACAGAGCATGAACGGGGGAGGGGCAGAGAGAGAGGGAGACACAGAATCGGAAACAGGCTCCAGGCTCCGAGCCATCAGCCCAGAGCCTGACGCGGGGCTCGAACTCACGGACCGCGAGATCGTGACCTGGCTGAAGTCGGACGCTCAACCGACTGCGCCACCCAGGCGCCCCTTTCCTTTCTTTTTAAAAAAGTTTTTAATTTTTCAGGTTTCCTTTTGAAATAACTTGGGACTTTTGGGGTTAGAAGAGTAGTCCGCATGGTTGTACAACAATGTGAACGGGCGTCCCGGACACTTAACAAACGGTCACTCTTAGGGGTGGTGCGTGTGTTAGCCCATTAAAAACAAAAACGAAAGGCTCAGAAAAGAACGGAAAGAAAATAAAATAGCACTGGCTTCTGCGCTTGCCGCCCAGGCCCGCCGGGGGGTGACGTGTGCGCCCCGATCACAGTGGTGGCGAGGGCCGAGGCAGTGCCCTTGCCTGTGTCTGCCGTCCCGCGGATGTCCCGGAGCAGACTCCTCCGTCCTTTGTGTCTTCTGTGACCTTAACGCCGCAGAGGAGCACTGACCCCTCGTCCCGCAGAACATTTCTCGGGTCGGGTTGGGTCAGTGTGGGCGGCTTGTCATGAACGGATTCCAGTTTGGCATTTTGGGCAGAAACGGCACAGAAGTGACTGGGGTGTCTCTTCCAGTCGTGACATCAACGTGTCCCCTCACGGCGATGCTGACTTCGGTGACCGTGTGGGTCAAGTTAGCATTTTCTCTTCTGGAGCTGCGCAGCTGTGCAACTGTGTGGATACCGTGCTTTCCCACGCGCTTCTGTTCACGGTCGCAAGGCTGCCTTGACGGGCTGTTGGCTGAGATCGTGGGCACCATGGTGTGTACACGATGAGCTTTCTTCCTGACGCCTGGCTAAGTGGTGTTCTGTTACTCCTTGTAAATACAAGAAGTAGAATCTAATCAGTTTCCCAGCGCGGGGAAGGAAAGAAGGGATGTGGAGACGGGGAATCGGGGAAGCAAAAGCCGGAGAAGACAGGCGACGAAAAAATGGGCTCAAAGGTGGGCTCTTAAACACACGGCAGAGATGCAGAGAGCGAACGCGAATGCGGTGCTGGTCCGACACGTGCACACAGGCTAACGTCCTCTCCGAGTGATCGGGTTGGGTCAGAAGGGCAAAGCCTGGCGAGGTGGGGTTTTTAAGAGCTCTGCCTGTGGAAGGACGCAGCACAGCCGGTGGGACGCAGACGGGGAAGGGAGACGGCAGACTGACTCACCGAGGGACAGTGGGGTGACATCAGCACGGTCCGGCACGAGAGTCTGCGTGTCTGAGGACGTGCTGTGAGTGGCGGCTTGGGGGTTACGGGGAACGTCACCGAGAGGCAAGTGTGCAAATACAGAATTCACGGATCCGAGGGAAGGTCCCAGCTCGTGCGCCCCCAGCGAAGCCCACCCCCAGGAGGTGGCCGTGTGCTTCTCTGCACGCGTGTGTCTGGGCAGAGGATGCGTGGGCCCCATCTACAGATGGCCCCTCTTGATGACGCCTGTCTCCCCTTTCTGATTGAAGGTGGACGTGGCGCTCGGCGTGGCCCCGTGTGACGTGACCGAGTACCAGCCAGAGGACAGCAACCTCTGCTGCCGGCTCTGCCCCGCTGGTGAGTCCCAGAGAACCTTCCGGGGCCTTGTGGGGCTGCCCGGGGTGGGGGGATCCCCGCTGGCTGGTGTGGGCGGACCTCTCCTGGGCAGCCACCCGCCCGCCCCATCCACGCCCCGGGGACTCGTGAACTGGGTTGTGGGCTTGTTTTGGTCGGTGGGGCCGGGGCCGCTGGAGGCAGAGGTGGGGGTGTGTCCCCAGGCTGGACGCTCCTGTCGGGGTGACTGTGGACACCTGAGGAAGGGAAGTCCTAACAGGGCTGGGCCAGCACTGTCCTCACGCACGACACGTCCGTGGAGCCTTAGTCACCCTCGTGAGGATGCTCTCAGTTAGCCCCATAAAGCAGACGGCAGGCCTCAGGCTCTGAGTGCCTGCTGTGTCCTCGCCCCGGCCCACCTCACCTCTTGCCCAGTCACCGCCACGGCAGCCAGGCCTCCTTTGTGGGGAACCCTGTCAGCCCGCTGCCCCCATCCGCGCCTGCGCCCCGCCCACACAGACAGATGTTCACGCATTGTCGTTCACGGTGTCTTTGCGGGGGCCTCCACACGCGTCCACCGTCTCCATCTGTAACCCCCCCCCCCCCCCCCCCACTTGTGCCTCCTTTGCTCTGGGACCCTCGGCCGTTGCAGGGCTCCTGTTTCAGGGACCAAACATCCACACCTGGGCCGTTCACACCTGTACACCCCACACACACCTGTGCGTCCACAGCTGCGTGCACATGTCCCCACACACGCACGCGGCTCATCTGGGAACAGGTGGGACACGGCTGGCCCAGCTGGAAACCTGGGGAACTCAGCCTGGTGGCACAGTGAGGGCTGAGGCCCCCTCCTCCCAGGGAGGTGTGATTTGCCTCCACTATGGCCTTTGCACGAGGCAAGTGCTAGACCAGGGGGGCTCCTCCGGGACTGGTCAGAGCCCTCGGTCTCTAGACCGCCAGTGCTCCCTGTAAATCAGCCCGGGGTCCCCGGGGCGCTAGGGGCAGGCACACGGGCGTTGTCAGGCTCTCGGGCCACCTCCAGTGTGTGTGGTCGAAGCCCTCCGCTCACGTGGGCCGGGAGTCGCCAGCGAAAGCCGAGGGGCGCCAGGTCCCCGGCTTCTCGGACGCAGGTGGCCAAGTGTCCATTCAGAACACTCCGAGGAGGTGTGGTTGGTGAGGGCTGGTCCTCCTCGAGGGGAGGCGTCGGGGGCTGGGTTGGGTCTACTGCGAACCCCCTCCTCACCTCCACGACCTCCCTTTCACACAGGCCAGTACGTCTTCAAGCCGTGCAGGGTGAACCATACCTTTGGCGAGTGCCGCGTCTGTGAATCGGGCACCTTCCTCGCCTTCCCTAATGGCGAGCCTACTTGCCAGAGGTGCATCCAGTGCCGGAAGGGTAAGTGGGCACGGTGGGGTCTTGGCCTTTCAACTCGGCCCGTGGGCCTCGCCCCGAGGGAGTTACTACAGGTGAACACGTATTTTTATCAGGACGGTGTGTGTGTGTGTGTGTGTGTGTGTGTGTGTGTGTGTGTGTGTGTGTGTGTGGTTAAGGAATCTCCATCCACAGGGCAGCAGGATTTTAGAGGTGCTGTATACGAGAACAATCTACAAAACTTTGTCTGAATTTCAACATATCAGCAGCGGATTATTTTAAAAGATGTAATTTTTTTTAAAAGATAACCATTTGCATCAGCAAAGACAAAGAAAATAAGATCCTTTGAGATAAATCTAGCAAAGGACGTATAAAACGTTGACATGAACAAACAACAGTTTGGAAAACCTAAAAATACAAGACTATGGGAGGACTCCACGTTTTAAAGACACGTCGGTTCTCTGTGAAACGGTTCTCAGATTTGGTGTGTTCGCAGTGAAACTCCCAACAGCACGTAGCAACTCCTCACGCGTGCTGTATGTTTTAAATATATGGTTTTTATTTAAAAAAAACAAAACAAAACCCTCACAAGGGTTTTCATGGAACTCGATGAGCGGACAATCGCCGAAACCCTCCGGAAGAGGGCAGAGCGCAGCGGGCTCTCCCGCGTGGTCATATTTCAAGGCGACGGAGACAGCGTGATTTGCACAAAGGGGAAGACGGCCCCACGGATGTGGAAAGTGGCCTGTGGCACCGCGACCGACCCGTCCACGGGAGGAAGGGCGGAATCGCAAACGACGCTGGCCTGGACCGCGTGCTGTCCTTTGGTGCAGGACGGGAAGCTTCCACTGCCCCCAGGAGTGGTTCCTTCCGCGTCACAGTCCACAGGTGAAAGTACTCGTTTGACAGGAAGACATGACGAGTGTTTAGGACTTCCAGGCAGCGACAGAACATTTTACGGGATTTCTGAAAACCCTACACCATAACGTCGAGGTGGGTACGTGTGGCGGCAGTCGAGCGACCCAGCTCCCGTTCTGTCGCGAGGCACGAAAGTTAAGCCGCGAAGGGGCAGAACCTGTTCGTGACACAGCCCACGCGTAATTCACACCTGGAGCACATCAGTCGTACGGTTTGGAAAAACGCTTCAAGTGGAGACAGACAGACAGACAGACGTGGTGAAGGAGATGGGCACGGAGCGCCGGTAACCGTGGTGAGGAGCGCCGGCGTGGAGGGACGGACGGACGGACGTGCTGTCTGGCAGCCGGACGGAGCGTCGCTGTGGATGCCCGGCATTCGCGGGGACCGAGAAGAGCGAGCGCTCCGTCCCCATGGGAGAAGCAGGGTCCGCACACAGTTGGGGCTGCCCACCCGCCCCGTGTCCCGATCCAGACCTGGACGGGCTCTTGCCCGTGTGTGCTGGGACGTGGGGACGGGTTCGCAGTCGTGTAAAGCCAGAAGCAACCCGAGCGTCCGCTGACCGAGAAGCGGGTGCGCGTGGGAGGAAGCCGCGGAAGCCGGCCCGGCCCGTGCGCGGCGGGATCCCGCCTGCGTCGCGTCTTGCCAAACCCGTCTGGGTTTTGGAAGCGTGAGAGCGGAGTGATGCCGTGGAGGGACCGGACCCGGGTGTGGGTCTGGACGTGGCATCGAGCTGCGAGTGTGGTCGTGTTTTATCTTCATCTGTATCTCGAGTACGGTTCTTTGACATCCAGCGCGGCGGAAGGCTCTGGAAGGGTGGTCGTCAGCGTGGCCGCTGCGGTTCTCGCTGGCCGGCGGAGGCGGCCCTCTGTCTATGCCGTTCTCTCCCCGAGGTTTTGCTCGTGTGGGACACGTGGTGGCGGTGTGCTTTTGTGGGGTGGACGAGGTGAAGGGCTCTACGGGCTCTCTGAGGAGCTGGCCCCGGCCCCTCGGCCCAGGCTGCAGGGGTGAGGGCCGGCTGTTAGCTCCTCTCTGCCCCTGCGTAGACGGGAGGGTGAGGACGGTTCGGGTCCTTGATCAAGGTTCTGGGCGTGGCCCGGTGTGGGCAGGGACTTTCCCGTCCGCCCCTGCTGACCTGCGACCCTCTCCCACCAGGAGATCAGGAGGTGGTGGCCAAGTGCTCCCCCACCAGCGACCGGCAGTGTCAGTGCAAAAAGGGGAGCTTCTACTGCAACTCTGTGGACTGCGTGGAAAACTGCCTGCGGTGTAAAAGGTCCTGGGGGCACAGGCGTGGGCCCCTTCTGTCCTCCCAGTAGTACAGACCCCAGGCTCCCAGTGGTGGTGGAGACAGTCCAAACACACAGGC